TATTTTACCTCCAGTTAATTAAAAGAATTACAATGTAAGCCTAAACCTAGATTTCTTCTCCACAGCTTTTGTTATCCAGATCGAGATCGAGGGTTTCGCTCTCCTTGACTCCACCGAAGATTTCATCACCGATCAGAAAGTCGTCGTTCTCAAACCAGACAGACCCTTTACCTCCGAAACCCCTTCTCCTGGATCTCCGGTTAAATCTCCGACGAGGATTTTGGTTAAACCTAATCAGTCGAAGCTATCTCAGGTTAGGAAATTAGATACCCAGATGGGATTGAACCTTGAGGTAATTTCGAGTTTGAGAACTAATTTTCCGTTTTTTTTCACTTTGTATAATCTTCTTCGCCTTCGTATGGCTAATTTCGCTGTTGGGGTTATGGAATTTTGCGTAGACAAAGGTGAAAGAGATCTTCCATGTATTGTGTTATTGTTGCGAATCAGATTCTGTGTGTTTCTCTTGCTTTTAATCTAAATTGGATTCACCTGTTCGTGATGTTCTGGGTTTTTATAAAAGAAAATTTCTGGGTTTTATGAAAATTTTGGGTTTAATTAGATTTTGATTCCGTATTGGATTGCTACATCTTGGAAAATCTGTGGCTATTGTTTCGTTTATTGTTCTCTCGTGATTGGTGTTTTACGACCCTTAAGGTCTGAAGTACGTTACATGTGAAGCTTTAGTCTTTAACCATAACATTTGCTTCATGGGCATCTCTTAACTCAGCTCACGTATCAGGTTTAATGTCTCTGCCTTATGTACCTCAGTTGTTGTGTTTGCGTTTGCTTTGAGATGGAATCATTTGGTGGTTTATTGATTGATTTAGCTTAGATTCTATTCTTAAAATTGTATGTCATGTCTTTTAGCTTAGTTGCCATATAGGTAAGCTGAAAGATATCATGTCTTTTTCCTTATTGTCAATGATTTGCTTTGAATGCAGCATAAGCTCAAGATTGAAGATGGTGAAGATGGTGAAAGCTTAAGATTGAAGACCAAACCTTTTATTAATATTGTTGACCAAACCTTTAAGAAATTTGGATTTTAATTTATAAATTTTAGTATTTTATATGAT